ATATAAAGATCATTTAGAGAAGTTATTCCCTTTAAACTCCAGGTATTGAAAACAGAGTCCATTAGTGAAGGAGTAGTTTTGGTTTTACCTTTATTTTTTATGTTGAACTTCATGTAAGAATATTTCCCTGATAATGAGATCTCTTCAAATCCTACAAAATATTTTATATGAATGTTTCAGTGTCTTTGCTTTATTGTTGTCTTCTTATGCTACTTTTAGCTATCTTTTGCTAGTTTTAGCTTTGGCTAGACTTTTCTTGGCTACTTTTAGCTTGCATTTCACTACATTTTGCTATCAGGTTTCTTCTGTTAGCATGGCTAGTGGTTTGCTCCAGTTACCTTTTGGTTCATTTGTTACTACCATTTAGACGCTTTGGATTTTGGCCAATGTTTTTTTGCTTTTTGCTTCTTTTGGCTAGCCTTTTGCTGCTTTCTAATAGCGTTTAGCTACTTTTGGCTCATGTTTTGCTGCTTTTTATTACTTTTAGCTAGCCATAATGCTATTTTCAGCTACCATTTAGCTAGTTTTGACATTTGGTTGATGCTTTGCTGCTTTTATTACTTTTAGCTTTTGACAAGCCTGTTGCTGAATTCAGCTATTGTTTAGCTCCTTTTGACTCATGCTTTGACACTTATGTGGCCTGCCTTTTTTGCTGAAATTAGCTAATGTTTTGCTACTTTTAGCCAGTGGCTCATGTTTTTTTTTTTGCTTTAGCTATCATTTTGCTTTTTTGTTTCACTTCCCTACTGCCCTGCTATTTTTAGCTTTTTCCATCACTTCTGCAGCTTTTAGCTTCTGCTCTTTGTTTTAACTTTAACAACTCTGTTGTAGCGTCTTTGTCAGAGCTGTCAGCTCTCAGCATTAATATTCATTAATTATCTAATTTCCCTCTGGGAACAATAAAGTATTTTTGAATTGAACTGAATTTATTTCTCATTTTATTYGAGTTTAATTGTTCTCCCTCTCCCTCCTCCAGGGTCCTGGTATTCAGTGCTGAGGGCGAAAGGTGGAATAACTAAAGGAGCTGCAGGAATGTGGTCCACGGCCGGCTCTCATACGTGCCTCTTGGGTTGTTTTTTCTTCAGCGAGCCGGGTCGATGAACTGGAGAAAACGGTGGAAGAGGAGGGGGTAAAAACCAGTGGAAAGAGCAGCCCGTCACAGAGATGGGTTTGAGACGATGAGAAGGGAGCTTGTTTTCACGGCGCTGCCTGTTGGACACCAGCAGAGAGAAGAGAGGGCCGTTCTGGCAGGAGGGTGGGGGCTGGGGGGATAAAATAAGGGAAAAGGCTGGTTTTGTGCTGCTGATACACAGACCAGCCTCTATCCTTCTGCCCTTTTAGCAGCACTAATCCCTCCTCAAATCCCTCACAAAGCGAGGGCCGTAAAAAAGAACCAGAGACGGGTCTCGTCCTTTTCCCGGGGGCGTGATTTCAGGACGTCAGCAACTTTTCAGTCCAAGCTAAACAGCAAACAAGACAGCAGTCTTGATTATTACTGAAACTAAACAGCAGCGGACTGGTTGAACAATTCAAACACGGAGCTGTGAAAGCAGAAACTATTWTTCCCAAAAGAAAAGGTCAAACTGAGGAGGCTTTGTTCTACCCTCGCCCCTGGAGGATCCAGAGCGCCGCAGCGCCCTTTGACCGCTCACTCACGTTGGTGTGAAATTTTCTAATAACCCACGAGACTCTCTAAGAGACACACCCCTTAGTGTCTCCTCTTTTTTTTTTTTTTTTTTTAACAAACAACAAATGGTACTGATGTTTTTTTTTTTTGTGCTAGTTTAGAACTCGGTCAGAAGCTGTGGTGTCCCTCTTGTTCAGGATGTTTCACAAAGAGCTCCAGTTTGTTTGTTTTTACCAGCGTTCATGTATTCAACTTTAGAAGTTGGTTCCTCTAACTGTTCTCTTGGAATACCTGTAGATGTGTCAGAGATGACTTTAAGCTATTTAAACTGTTTAGATAGAAAAGAATAGAAACATGTTATTGTTYGGTAGGGCTGCCACGATTAATCGATTAATCGACGACTAATCGATTATTAAAATAATCGATGACTAATTTAGTAATCGATTAATCGTTTTCTCTTTTTTTTGTTCTTTTTCTCTCCAAACTGCTTTGACAGCTTCCACTGCCACATCTGCCTTTCTGTCCTTGACACACATGCACAGTAGTGGTAACTGGGGTAGGCCGTGGACGTCACAAGACATTACAGGTGCTGGTC